TCTTTCCTAAAGTCGCTTCTTCCAGGTGACTGCCATGCATAATTCTCCCAGGGTAAATACCACTGGCTGAAAAATTCACAACTGGCGTTCCAGGGTAGGAAATACTGTGTAGGTTTATATGTAAATTCCCTGACGTTATTTGGACTTGTTATACTGACTCGATTAATATGCTGAAATGAAAAATCTGTTCTGTGTGAACAGCAGAGTATGATTTTTTTATTATATTTAGCCTTTTTGTACATAATACAGCTGAAGTAGCTGCTAATACTGCATTTTTGGCAATATCGGAGGTTAATCATGCTGTTGAAGGTGGTTCTATCTTTTCATCAACTTTGAAAGTAATAAGTTTTAGACTGTTCTTGAAGGAAGGGTAAAGACATTTGGATGACAAAAATCTTTGGGGCTATACTTCTGCCTTGGCTTCAGACATGCTTCACTTTGGGCTTTGGCTTCAGCCCTGTAGTTTGTGAGTGCTCAGGTGCTTCTGGGATCTCTCGCTATTTTCTGCACTGCACGCAGCTGAAACTCAACACAGCTCATCTAGTACTGAGCATGTGGAAGGCTACACGCTGCTGTTGTGTGCAAGAGCCTTGTGAAGGTAAGGTCTGTCCAATTTCTATTTTGCATATCTGCAGAAATACAACTTGCTTAATTGGTTGCAGTTAGGTATGTCTTTCTGACATCACTGGGACTCACTGTCCATGATATATGAAGTCCTTAGTTCCACTTTCAGGCGTGAAGCTGAGCCTTTGCCTGCTGCACCCCTTTGGTAGCATCAGTGCAGAGGTGGGACATGCACATTCTTTGAGGTCAGTGACTGCAGAAGGGGAAACAGCAAATGCCCTTTTAATTCCTAAAGTGTGGCATGTTTCATTCTACTACAATTCTGTTTTCTGATTCATGTGCCAGCATAACGGTTACTCCCAGACCAGTCATAATTCACTCACTCTTTAAAAAAGGGCTCCGCCAAAACATTCAACTAAAATAATCCCAAGATGTGTCTAAAGCATTTAATAAGTGAGTCCTCACCGGGTGCTACGCGTCTGCTGTCTTTAGTAGAGTATAAACTGCAAATTCCGTATTTCATGGCTTTTGCACCCGAGTCCCTCGTAATGCCCTTCCCACAGAAAGATCACCTTCTGCGGAGACTGATCTGTAAAAACAAATCCTTCCCTATTATTTCAGTCTAATGAAGATTTTCAGCTTCTGGATTCCTCTCAGAGGAATAGTCTAGTGTAGAAATACTATTACAATATTTACAGTGCTCTGTAATTTTTATTTTTGTTGTTTGGTAGCTACTTGTTGAATAATTCCCAACAAGCTCAGAAAACATTTATGAAGAACTGTCATTACTTTGAGAAAAAATGATATTACACCTGAAAAAAACTGTTGGTTTCTGGCTTTTTTGTGTTGTTTTTTTTTTTTAGCCAACAGCTTGCTTGATTTTGATTCCTCGAAGCTTATTCTGAACTAATCCCTCGAAAATCTGTATGGTCTTTCCACAAGACAATCTTGGTGGTCATTGGAGGGGGTTGGAGGGGGTGGTGAGACCCACAATGTCAGATTCTTTGTGAATTAGAACAATGATACTTTAAGGATGGCTATTAAAAGGCTTATTTGAGAACTGCTGTCTTTTGAAGAGAGAGCACAACTGCCTCATGAATATCTGAAGAAAAAACAGTCAATTTTTATGAACAAAATAATCGCAGTACCAAATCAAACCAAACAGAAGTGCTTTGTTACATCAAGCAGGTAGCTGTTGGAGAGTGCAACAGAGGAAAGTCAAATGAGATGCAGAATTCAAAGCAGTTAGGTCAGTTAAGTAACGGTGGTTTACTAGAGACTGTACGGAATTTGTCATCACATCAAAATTTAAAGTTGATTAAATATTTTTTTTTAAAGTATGTAATTGCAATTATTTGTTCTCAGGTTGATTAAAAATTAAAATTATTTGAGCTCTTTAGCCCTTGCAGAAGGCTGAGTTTGGCAGAAGTCAATTTTCTAGAAACTAGGCAAGGGAGGACAAAGGCCTCCTTGGACAGCGAGCAACAAACCATGGTGTTTGGTCACAAACAAACACACAAAACATGGCTGTGGTGCTGTGCAGCCTGCTTTAGGTGAACCTGCTTTGGCAGGGGGGTTAGACTAGATGATCCCTAGAGATCCCTTCCAACCCTTTCCATTCTGTGTATGTAGCCAATACTGAACCAAAGCTGCCTGCAAATGCCCTATGTGGTATATGTCAGCTAAGGGACACAGCCACTCGTGACTTGTTTTGCAGCGCTTTCCACTTCATGTAGATGTTGCATTTTAACATTATACTTCTTTCTTTGCCTGCAACTAAACTGGAATGCAATCCTTAACATGCAGAAAATGCTTCTGGTATTAAGGTCCTTGTCTTTGCCACTTCCAAATGCACATTGTCCCATAAGGAATTTATACGTGTGTATTTTGTGCTCTGATTACTTGTATGCAGCTCATGGAAGGGTAATCGCTACCTTCAGACCCTGCAGACGATTTTATTAGCAGTCAGAGCTCTGCCACGACTATCAGTTTAATTCCTTTAGCGTTGCACACGCTGGATTTTTCTACAGGCCATGCAACTGCAAAGTCTGAAAGTAATTTCCCTTTGCTACTGTCACTTCAACCAGGACCTAGTAATGTTAGATTATATTCATAATCTTGAGTTTTGTAGAAACCAGGAACCAGTTTTTATTACAGGAAAGTCTTTATTTTTAATGTTTTTGAACACTTAATTTTCTGAGGAGAGAAATAAACCCTCTTTATATGTCATGATTACTTAAGCATCTGAAAGTGTTGTATTGGTGGCCAGCTGTGGTAGCTCTGTGTCCTGGTAACTTGTACTGTGGTCTCTTTTTGCTCCTTATGGGCTTATTAGCCTCCAATGTGGGAGAAAAGTCAGGACCTGTTGCTGCTTTTTCCTCTCCCCTGGTTTCTAATTGTTGCAGTATGTTTTTCCACTACTTCCACAACTCTCTCCTATTCCCTTTTCTGTGTCATCTGGTTACTTCTGTTGCCCCAATTCTTTCATCCCTTAAGCTCTTCCTTTTCCTGGCAAGAATTTGTACATGTAATATTTTCTATAAGTACCACGTTATAGACTTGCTATGTGCAGGTGGCCCTTGCTGAAACACCTACTGCTCTGCCATTTACAGGTGGAAATTGCAGAGTTTTAGTTCTCTTGAGAGTCATTTAAATGGAGGTGTAGAGCCTTCTGTTGGGATTAGTGATGGTGAAGACGTAGGCAGAATTTAGGCTTTGCCTTCAGGTCTGAACAAGATGGTTGGAAGAAATCAAAACAACTGCAGCCGATAGGGCGATTGTGGTGTTTATAATCGTGTTGTTTTTTTCAGGAAGGCTTTTCCTAGGGCACCTTTTGTTCAGACAACCTCAAAATTGGATCACTGACCTTTCTTTGCATTGTCATTGAGGCACAATGATGAGGGCAGTGTACAGAAGCTGGTGGGTTTCATAGATTTTTAGGGGAATTGGTGACTAGAAATAAACACTTTGAAATGTCACAGAGTTGGTAATCACCTTGTTTTTCCTGATGAAATCCTCTTTACATTAAAACTAGTGGTGGTGTCTCCAAAGTTATGTGCCAGCTGAAGCCACTGGGTTGGGGTATAATTGTACAGATAGTATTGCAAAAGAAATCATGCTGATAGCTGTAAAAGACATAGGTAGTAACCCTGTTTCTCATGTGGCTAGGAGGGTACTGCTCCTCTAATCTGAAACAAGTCTTTGGTCCATAGTTACAGATATATGGCAGTATTTATTCTTGTCATCTCTGTTGTGTTATAAAAGGTAGTTTCAAAATAAACAGTTGAAAAAGCTATACTGTGATATTTTCCTCAATAGGACTGTAAAACATTCTGCTGGGGTTAAGACAGTAATTAGTTTTACTGTCCTATCCTGAAAAAGCATTGGCCCAACTCAGAACCGCCCCCCTAGAAGAATATATTTATACAGAGTTGTTGTTGTGAAGGTGTAAAGAAACTTTACTCTCCCCTTTGGAACAGATTATTTGGGCCCTTAATCCAGGAGGTTATGTGATAAATATTTTTAACTAATTTAGATCTTGTGCAGCTAGTGATGTTCACAGATTTTCTTCATAACTGGTGATGAAGTTCAACAAAAATAATTTCTTGTAATATTTCAGTGGGAAGAAAACTGGGTAGTGTTAATTTTTCAGAAAATTATATCTTAAAGAAGTGTTAATAAATACTCTGCATGCAAATCTGAGGCACTGCAGTGCAAAGTTTAGGGTAGTTAGTAATGCTTGACCTTTAGAAAGTAAGTTAGAGTGTTCTACACAGGAAATTATGTACATCGTGGGTATTCTGAACTGACTAATAAAGTTGTTAGGCAAGATTTTTAACTGACAGAATGGGACAAGGAAAGAAAAAAAGCACATTATATATGTTGAATAGATGGCTGGTCCTAATTAAGTACTACCTTTGTCTTGGTAGATATAGTTTTCATTTCTTTATGCTGCAATTTAGTTCTCTGTTGCAACTCAGGGTATAAAACCTCTTTTTTCCCTGGAGAGCTTTATGTAACTCTTCTATTCTTCTGTCACCTTGATGTGTCACTTTTGCTGTGGAAAATTTATTCTTGTTTTGGCTGCTATTTCAGTGCTTTTGTTTTTTTGAGGTGAGACTGAGTGATGATTACTCAATGCAGAAAAATCTCATAATGTTATATATATATATCTGCATATCATGGGTTTCTTCATCCACTTAAATTATTGTGCATTGCAGGTGCTTCTTCTAGTATTGTCTGAAATAGCTTCAGTGTCAAATGCAGTTTCTCAGTACAGATAATCAGGTTCAGACTTCTTAAACATCAATCAAAACATAAAATACCAGAAACCCTAGTTAAAAAACAGTATTTTTACTGTTGTAGTTGTTATGAAAATAGATAAAAATGTAGATGCATATATAAATTTCTCCCTCGTGTGTTTATTGTTTTTGCAGGCACTATCCTGGTTGACAATATGCTGATCAAAGGGACTGCAGGAGGGTCAGATCCCACCATTGAACTCTCCTTAAAGGATAACGTAGGTTACTGGGTGATCCTTGATCCTATCAGCCAGAGGTTATACCTAAATAGCACTGGCCGAATCTTGGACAGAGATGTAAGTCTGGGGTTTGCAGTTTATTTTCTTTACTCTTTGTGAAAATTAATTTCTGAATCTGTCTATACTCATAGGAAGACCATAAACAACAGACCTGCTAGAATAGAATAGCTACATCTGTCTTTTGTCCTCAGATGAATGTGAAGAGAATTAATTTGATTCTTTATTAAGACTTACTGGAAGCATGCAGAAACTTCACCATTTCTGCACAAAAAATATGTGGACAAACAAACAATGAAGACTGAACAAATAAATGTGTGGGTTGGCAGAAATACACATCGACCTAAACTTGACTTGTTTGTTGAATTAAAACAATTTTCTGGTAACCCTGCTTCGGCAGGAGGGTTGGACTAGATGACCCACAGAGGTCCATTCCAACCCCTACCATTCTGTGATTCTGTGGTTCTGTTTTCTTCTTTGTCTGGAAGGAGAAGTGCTGCTCACCTTATGTCCTGTGACACTTATTAAAAGCCTGCTCTAGCTGTGTACATTGGCTTAGGAGATGTGAGAGAGAGCAAAGGAATTGTGAATATTAAAGTTCAGTTATAAAGCTTGACAGATTCAATTGAGAATTTGCTAGTTTAGATTCTTGTTTTAAGCCAGCATAAAATTTGTATGGTATGCTCATTCCGAAAACTGTTAAAGAAATATTGTCAGGCTAAGTTTGATTTTTATAAAAAGAAAGATTAAAAGCACAAAATAAATAGGAGTGTTCTTATCTGTGCTAATGTCATTGAGGAGAAATACTTTAAAAACAGAGACATTTTCTCACAGTGCTATAGCATTGCTGCAGTTCATCAGCATCTGAAAGGAAAATTGATTCCAAAGTGACTGTAATCAACATGGAAAG